CGAGTGGATTTTGGGTAGTGAAAATGACGGATCGAGCTCGGTTGATCTCGGCTTTTATTACTCCCTTAGGACTATTTGAGTGAAACCGAATGCCTTTTGGTTTGAAGAATGCGCCCCAGATTTATCAACGCATGATCGACAACGCGCTATATGGATTCATCAGGATCCCGAAGTCTGAAGATCACGGGGGTGCTCTAGATGTGTTTGAGAATGGGGAATCGATGGGACCAGGCAAACCATCGGTGCTTGGTCGCAGATCATATATCGATGACATCCTGATCCCCGCCAACAACTGGGATCAACTGTGTGATCGAGCCGAAGGTTTACTCAAAGCGTGTGATGAGTGGAATTTGTCGATCAGTGTGGTTAAGCGTTTCTGGGGAATGCTTAAGGTGGAATATCTCGGGCATAGGGTTTCTCAAAATGGACTGGAGGCGAACCCGAAAGATCTGTCTGCATTGACAGATCTAGCATTTCCAGGATCACTCAGAGCTAAGCAGTCGTTTTTGGGAAGTCTGAACTATTATAGCCGGTTTAACAAAGACTACGCGATCTACGCGTCGGTTCTGTACGAATTGCGAGAAATCGACTTTGTTACGATGATGAAGGAGGCTACCGAAGCGCGGATCCAACAAATACTGGAAGTGGAGAACGTTGATCAAGAATCGCAGGAAGATCAGGGTGTCGACCAGCGAAGGACCTTGGATCTTGAGGCGCCAGATCTTACTGAGGTAGATCCGCGCTGGATCCATGCCCATCGGTCCTTCAGTGTGCTTAAAACCAGGATCGCTACAAACCCAATCTTACGGCACTTTGACCCAGATCGGAGGGCTACAGTTGTGGTGTATGCTAGCGATTGGGCCGTTTCGGGATCACTGATGCAGGAATACGACCAGATCTACTACCCCGTGATGTTTGCAAGCCGCACTCTGAAGTCGAATGAGTTAAATATGGCATTGCGGAGAAGGAGGTATTAGCCCTTCTGAGGGTCCTGGATCTTAACTATAATGCGTTGGTCGGGCGTCCGATCCACGTGTTGACCCGACACTCAACATTGGCGTGGCTCTTCAGATCCACAGCCCTACAAAGGCGTCTAGGACAGTGGGCTGCTCTGCTGTCGCCCTGGGCATTTGAGATCACCAAGTGTGTCAAAGGAAAGGACGAGATCTTAGGAGCACTGGCGGCCAGTATTACCCCTAGATCAGAAGTGGATAAAGCATTGATCTCAATTGCCCCTAAAAAGAAGCCAAGACGCAAGATCCAAGCTCCGATCCCCACTAATAGACGAGATGAGGAACTATACGTTGTCAGTTTCGATGGATCGGACCGTGTCAAGAGAGGTGGAGGCGCCTACAGCGCGATCTTGTGGAAGCTGCCCGAATGGAGGGTGCTGAAGGCTAGATCTGGGTACGCCGAGGGCTTGACGGTGAATGAGGCGGAATATCATGGGTTGTTGCTATGTTTGGATCTGTTAGAAGATCTGGATACACGACGTCTGGTGATCTGCGGAGACTCAAACATGGTGATCCGACAAGTACGAGGAGAGATCGATTGTAAGGCACCGGGTCTGACACTGTAACGTCAGCGGGTGTCGGATCGACTACGTACTTGGCCAGATCATGAACTGTTACACGTCAAACGAGATTGGAACGGGAGTGCTGACAGCTTAGCAAGCGCTGCTCTGCAACGGCAATGTGGGACCGAGGTAGAGTCTGACACGGAAATCCAGGATCTCATAACTTTAAATCGGTCCTGATAGTGAAAGTCGAAGCAGAGATCGTACAGATATCAGCTGTGACGACCCGATCTAAGGCTAGATCGGGAGTGCATATTGGATCTGGTCCAGGCTCCCTACGAGAAGAAAGCGTGAGAGAGCTGCGGATCGAGCGGATCCGACAAGCGCAGGACGAGGAGTCGTGGATCATGGGCTTGAAAAAGTATTTGGTCGGGGAGATCCGGGATCTGACACAAGAAGAGGCTAAGATGTTTGGATCTATTGCTATGAATTATGAAGCGGATCAGTTGGATCTACTCTTCTATTGCCCGACAACTAAGGAAACTGCCGCAGATCGAGATAAGATGATGCGACTGATGATACCTGAGACGCTTCAACAGGACATTTTGCATCACTATCACACGAGTCTATAGGGTGGCCATCAAGGGGTCAGTCGCACCTACGATCGGATCCGTGATCATTTCCACTGGAGAGGTCTGTATAAGAGCGTACAGCGATACGTGGGGGAATATGTTGACTGTGAAACAGGCAAGGGAAGGCCCCGGATCCAGGGCGATCCACCTGGAAACCTTCAGGCGACACACCCATTCCAGATCATCGCCATGGATCACATACTTTCATTGCCTAGATCCTTCAACGGCAACACTGAATTGCTGATCTTCGTGGATCTATTCTCGGGATATGTGATCAGCGCCTCCAGATCAGCTCAGACAATCGCGGAGACCTACGAGGAATGTGTCTTCCGCCGATTTGGCGCGAGCGAAGTGATCCGACATGATCGGGAGCCAGGCTTTAAGTCGTTCAACAAGACCCTGGGACAACGTCAACGGGCTACGATGACGTACCGACCCCAAGCTAATGGATCTGCAGAACGTATGGTCCATACAACTACCCAGGCCCTTAAGATGTATGTAGAGGATCTGGATCAGCGAGATTAGGACGAGTACGCTGAGCGACTCACCTTCGCGATCAACACTGCAAGAGATCGGATCCGAGGTGAAACGCCATTCTACATGATACATGGCTGGGATCCCAGATCTACCTTGGAAGCGGTGATCCCGGTGGGGAGCACTCGCAGGCACGATCGAGATCCGAGAAGATGGCGATATCGTATGCAAAAGTACTATCAGCAGGCCAGAGAACAAGCGAATCAACGTCTACGTGAGGCGATCGCGGATCGGGCCGATGCACATAACGATCTAGCACGTCCTCATCCTGTTGAGTCTGGATCAAGGGTTTGGTTATACCTAGATCGAGTACGTGAGGGATATGCAAAAAAGCTTGCGCATCTGTGGCACGGCCCATTCCGCGTTGCTGAAAAAATCGGAGAATACGCAGGGAGGTTGGAGGTTGCAGGATCCACATACAGCATTTTCCCGGTGGTGCATGTGTCAAAGATCAAACTGGTCAAGATATTCCCAGATCGACCAGTAGCTCGTTTAAATGGGTCAGAGGGAGATCGGGTGGACTTCGATGAAGCTCTCCTACCTGAAGACAGCTGGATCCAAGATCGGGATCCAGATGAATACGATGTGGAGCGAATTTCCGATATGAGGACTGGCAAGAGGGCTAGATAAGGCCGGATCTACCGAGAATTTCTAGTACATTGGCGTGGATATGAAGATCCAACCTGGGTAGATGAGGCAGATCTCAACTGCGGTGCTCTTCTCTATGAGTTCTTGCGAGATCGCGTTAATTGCAATTGGTATGATGCAGTCTCACGACGAACCGTGAGATCTGGATCCACACCGGTGAGTTGGTCACTAGTGTGGTTGGAGGTTGACGGATCTGCAAGGAGGTTGCAGATCGGAGGACAGGGTTTGCGTGACTTTGTATATGATGACATGTAGATGGAGGATCGAAGTGGAAAGCGATTGATTCTGAGATGAACATGGAGTGAGCGGAACGGATTTCGATTGTGGATCTAGGGCTGTATTATTTGAGGAATTATGGATCAAAGGGCGAACGACAAGTGTGGAAGTATTATAGTGGAAACCTATGTGGACTAACGTGGCCAAAGGCTTAGTGGAAACAAAGGACACTGACGAACGCAGATCTGAAAAGAGAATGACATGTATTACGATTAACGAAGATGATCTGAAAAGAACGTAAGGAGAAGTGTCAGGATCATGACGGAGGAGGAAGTGGCGCCGCGTTGGGATTCAGAGCTGCCATGCTGAAAAATTTACCGGCAAGACGTGCGATCCGGCGAGCGGGATGGCCCGCATGGTGCAGTCGGTAGTGGGTACGTCAGGGATCTGCTGCGGCACACTCAGCGAGAGCCTCGATCAGATCAGCAGGCTCACGACGATGCAGTTGCGGATCCGCGAGGTTAGCACTGCGAGCCTCGATTCCGGGGCACCAAGCCACCTCGTCCGTGCGCTTGGGAAAATGAAGAAAATAAGAATCCAGCAGCAGATCCAGATCACACCAACCCTCGCGCATGGCGATCAAGAATAGTTGCAGGATCTGCTTCCACCTAGCGCCAGCGTGAGATCGACGATTCTTCCTCTCCGTAACGAAGAGCGCCAGGTTGGACCGCTGCGGATCAACGCTGGCAAGATTGTAAAACGGTGTGTCGATTCCCAATAGGCGATCAGATCCTGAAACTCGACGGCCGAATATCTCTCGATCAGAAATCCCAAGCGGCCGTCGACTGTGATCTCGAACGACATGGGCTTAGGAATGTTGGTGCCAGTAAGCACATTCCAGGGAAGAGCGGCCATGAGGTCGCGAACGTTCTGACCCGTGATCAAGTGGCTGCAGTATTGATCGGGTCTCGGAGTAGTCGCTCGAGGCACGTGACTAGGGAAGATCCACTCAGGATGGAACGGCAACGCCCGCGGCAACACTTCCAGGGTCATGGTCATGATCGTCAGGGTATTGATCTTTTGGATCACCCATGGATCCACGTCAACTATGTTATACTGACGAGTCTGTTGGCGGCCAGGAATGCACACTTGATCAGGAGCAAAATGACGTCGTAGAAGCACCGTCGAAACAAGAGGCATTCCAGCCGGATCCACAGGAGATCCGCCACCTCTGCCACCACTACTGCTACTCGAGCCTTCTCCATCGGAATCACCACCAGATCCGGGATCTTCAGCTCCTCCAGCCCCGGTACGATGCGGAGCAGCATGATCGCGGCGCCTCTGCTCGGATCTCGATCGAGAAAGAGCCATGAGCGTCTGAGCTTGCAACATGTCGTTCAGAGTGTCGTCGTCATCGCCGTCGGCCGAAGTGTCAGCTTCCGATTCTTGATCTTCTTCCTCTAGATCGGCGCCCTGGGAGGGCTTAGGATCACCAGTCGACCGATGTTTAGACTTGGCCTTGGGCTTGGAGGCGGGATCCGAGCTTGCGGGGACGTCAGGGGTTTTGGATCCACCCTTCTCGTAAGATAGGTAGAGCGGCTCGGGGGTCGGAACGGGACTCGCTGCCCCGCGATCCTTCTCCAACAGTTCGTCGAGTAAAGCTTGATCCGGATCCGACGTTTCCTCAACGTCCTAGTCTCCGCCGATGCCGTAGTCATCTTGATCTTCCTCGCGATCCAGATCCTTCTTGTGATCTTCAGTCATCGTAGCTTTTCTCTTGGAAGGACAAAGGTCACGAGATCTCTTACGGGGGGAAGAGCTTGACGATTTCCAGTGGAGGAAGATCCATCAGACCCGTTGGGTGTGGGTGTGTAGTCCGGATCTTGGTCGGGCCGATCTTGATCAGACTTGTCTGGTTCCGAGTTGCCTTGATCCGACATGTCTTGATCCGAACTCTCTGGGCTGGGTTTGTCTTGATCCGACATTCCCTGATCTCCATGGTCTGGGCTCTGCTTGTCTTGATCCGAACTCTCTTCCCGAACTCTCTGGGCTGGGTTTGTCTTGATCCGACATACCCTGATCCCCATGTTCCGGGCTCTGCTTGTCTTGATCCGGGCTCTCTTGATCCTGCTCCCCCTGATCCGGCTGCTCCTGATCTCTGGGAAGACTATCGAGACAGCGTTTGGTAGTGGGAGGGCTTGATCCCATCCCGGCGGCCACTGTGGACAACATCTCATGCGTCTTCCGTAGTTCGCGCCGTAGATCCGTGCGCTCCCGATCAAGGTGGGCCAGTCGACAATTTAACGTCAAGATCTGGGCTTTTTGTTCCGTGATCGCCCGTTCCGCGTTAGCGTAGGCGGTTCGAGCCACAGTGACATCATGTTCTGCGGAAAAGAAAAGGATACTATATTAGCGAGATGGTGTGGTCTAGATCAAGGAAAAGGAAACGTACTCAGATCCTCGCCCGCGTCGCGATATCCCTTCTCGCGCTTGGTTGCGCCGGCGGGATTGACGCGTAAGACCTCACAGGGCGACCTCTCCCGCTTGAACTCCATAGTTCTCTCGTGGGTCTGACACCGAAGTGCATCAGCCTCTCGATCCTTAGTCTGGACTTGCGCGTTCAGTGTATCGCGCTCCGTTGAAACTTGATCGAAGCGATCTTGGAGGGCGACGCGCTCTGTTATCTGCTGATGCAGCTTGACTTGCAGATCCGACAACGACGGACCCGGAGCGACTATGGCGGCGACCCGTTGTGCGACCAGCAGATCTGCTTCGGCGTGATCTAGGGCCTGACATGTGTGGCGCAGCACTCCTTCAGTAACGTGTAGCTGGTCGGTGGCTTGATCACGGGCGCGATCCGCCTTGTTGAGCTGCTCCTGCAGATCCAGGATCTCGGTGCCTACGTGTTCACGTTCCTGCATAAATCGAGTAACTTAAGACTCCCGATCCGCAACTTGTCGCTCGAGGGTGTGAACGTGGGCGGCGGATGCGTGCGGATCATGAGCCGTTTGGGAATGGGAGTCGAGCTCGGCGTGTAGCGCATCTCGATCCACCCGAAGACCGTTGATCGACTGTCGCATGAAAGAGATCGCTCGATCCTGCTCGTGAAATTAGTCGCGAAGATCGTCCAGCCAATCCTGCTCGTGAAATTAGTCGCGACGATCGTCCAGCCGATCCTGGTGCTCCACGGACGGCGGATCCGAGCCGCGGGGCAAAGTCTGGAAGGCCAGAGCTGCCGTGAGCTCGCCCTCATGGCGGAGGCGGCGCGTAGCGTAGCGACGGAGTTCGTCGCGTGTGGCGTGAGGATCGAAGGCGGATCCTGGCGATCCGCCGCTCGAGGATCCACTGGGGCCTTGGGCGTTGAACATGGTGATGAAAGTGGAGATCTGCGGCGAGTGGAGAATAAAAAGAAGTGTCTGCAGTGATCCTGTTCGGCAGCAACGACTACAGACAGGAGGCGATTGAGGTCGGTGAACCTTTTCCGCCGCAAGTGTGGTTAAGTGGATTCCGAGAAATTACGGACAGGAAGTGATCGGATTAAGTGAAGAGACAGGTATGCCTGGATCTGAAGTGACTACGGTGGATCCAGATCTGAGAAGGTCTGATGGACCCAGATCAACTGAGTCTGAGGTGACTGGATCGATCTGAGAGGACCTAATTATAGGTGCCTGATCTGGGTATAATTATGCCTGATCCAGATAGGATTACCCAAAGCGAATCAGGATCAAGTAAACAAGGTAAGCATTCAGCGGTATACAGCCGGATCTGAAGATAGGCAGATGGTGGGA